CAGTTCCACAAGCAGTGAATTGGTATTTCTTTTTCAAAGATCTTCACCAGCATTTGGTTGTTTCTGGACTTTTTTTTATATAAGCCATTCTCACTGCTGTGAAATGTCTTTTCATTTGATTTGCATCTCCCTGCTAATCAGTGATAATAAACATTTCCTGTTGGATGAACACTATGCCTCTTGGCCATCCATATTACTTCTGTGAAGAAGACTATTAACCTCCTCTCTCCACTTATTGATGAAATTGTTTGGGTTTTGTTGTTGTTGAGTTTTGTGAGTGCTTTATATAATTTGGATATTAGTTTTTGTCAGATGTTTGCTGGATAAACTTTTTTCCTTAGTTTAAAATGCCCCAGTTAAGTGACAGTGAATAAAAGGCAGTGCTCTTCAAAAGTGTCAAGATCACAAAGGACAAAAAAAAAAAAAAACTGAGACACTCTCAGAGACTAGAGAAGACAGATGCACATCAACTAAACTCCATGTGGTGTCCTGAACTCAATCTAGGAGCAGAACACTTATATCTGTTAAATAGCTGATAAAATCCAAGTGAATTCAGTAGCACAGTGAGTGGTTTTGAACCCATGGTGATAGACTAATTGTAATGGTTATATAGCTACCAACACTAGGAAAAGACAGGTGAAGAGTAAGTGGGAACTCTCAGTGCCACTGTTGCAGTTCTTCTGTAGATCTAATACATTTTTTAAGTTTAAAATAAGCAAAAACCCTAGCTGTTCTTTTACTTCCTTCAAGCAATGTGCTGAAAGGAGGGTAAGACAAAGCTTCACAAAGCATGAACTAGAAATGTATCAGGAGTCGTGTGCACTCCTAAATTCTGCTGATCCCAACCCATTTGATCTTTCCTGGGCGAAGAGGGGTGAGTTCCACGGTCTATGATGGTTAATTTTACATGTCAATTTGACTGAGTCGCAGGATATTCAGGGAGCCAATGGAACAGTGTAGAATAGCATTGGTTTGTCCTTTCTTCCTTGCCACAGGGAGCTTCGGTTTATCAGGTTACACCCATCACAGTGCTCCCGAATCACTCTCATTCCTCTGTGTTTATCTGTAAACTCTTCTCTGTGCTCTCCTCCCAAACCAGTTAATCACCTTTCTCTCTAATCAGATTCTGTTAACTTGTAAAGTCAAATCCTTCTAAGGACACTGAACTTGTATTTTTAAGTTAAATATCGCTTTTTCCCATCTTTTGCATAGTTTACTTTAAAGCAATGTCCTTTCTGTATGGACACAGGAGGACAGTTAATACTATGCTTTTATAACTTGGGAGTTAATTGACTCCAAACAATACTCACTCCAGGACATCTGACTTAAACCTCAGTTGCCCTTAGTTCCTAGCACCCCAAAAGCAGGATCCCAACGAGGGACTGAATGGATCCAGGGCAAGCTGTGAGCTACCCTGGCATCAAAATGGGCCAGGTCAAAGCACTACATCTATAAGTCTAGAGCATGGTCGTGGACAAACTCCATCATGACACAAAAGAGGTAACTGAATAAGGACTCTGCTGGGGTTAGGAAGACTAACCTGGCCTGAGGACTGTGGTCTAGAATATACAGTGAGATGTCCTCAGGAAGAACCAAACTTTAAGCTTGATAACTCTTACTGTGCTCATACAAAATGACATTGCTAGAAATATTAGAAGTAAATTTACTACAACTATTTAAGTGGATTTCTGGCTGGGGAGAGAAGAAAGCAACATACCCTGAATGGAATCCTACCCTTGAGTGGATCTCCTAGTAATCTGAGTAATCTCGTTAAGATTTTGTCTTTGAGTTAATCTCCTGGAGGAGTGGCTTTACCTCTCTTTGTTGATTTGTTAATGTTCAACTCCACCTTTGTATCCCTTCCCTACATGATTTCTATATAAACTAGGCTGTAAGAGTGGGCTGAGGGAGCAAGAAGGAAAATGAAGGGGGATCCAGAGAGAGAAGCAGAAGGGGAATCAGAGGAGAATGGAGAGGAGATTGGAATAAACTGCAATTGATAACGACCAGCCTGACCCTCGTTCCTTCCTTCCCCTGCCCATCGCTATCAGCCTCCCCGGGGTGGGGGAAGCAGAAACCACTGAACACTGGCGGCCAGCGAGAGAGAGAGAGAGAGAGAGAGAGAGAGAGAGAGAGAGAGAGAGAGAGTGTGCCACTGCCCTTTAGTAAATGCACAGAACAGTATTTCTGGTTGTGCCTGTGGGTATCTGGAAGAAAGCAGCTTTTGGACTTGTGAACTGAGTATAGAAGAGGTCCTCCCTAAATTGGGCCAGCACCCTACAATCCACTCAGCTTTTGAATATAACAAAAACAAGGCCAAAAAAATAAGGCTTTGCTGTGTGCCTGGGTGTCTGAGCTGTGACACTGAGCTCCTCCAAACTCTAGTTCTCAGGCTACATCTGCTCTCTGGCTGTCAGACCTTTGAACCACACTAGCAGTTCCTGGATCTCTCGTTTGCACTTTGCAGATTGGGGGATTTCATGACCAGCAAAACATGAGAGCCAGGGCCTTACAATAAATCTCTTTTCAGGTTTATGTGGAAATATTTCTTATTCATAGTTATAAATATGCACATATATGTGTATATAACTGCTCCTGATTCTTGGCAAAATCCTGTACTAGGATTCTATTAAGACACGGAATTTTAAGTTCTATGTCTTAAAAACAGAACTACTAAGAATAGTCTTTCCAACAAATGGTTTTGAGAAAATTGACTAGTGCAAAAGAATGAGTTTGCATGTTTGCCTTATATTCTGTACAAAAGTTAATGCTTTGGTCCAAACACCTAACAAGAGCTAAAGATGTAAGAATCTAAGAAACCATTGGAGAAAATCTTCTTGACATCAGATTTATCAGTGACTTCTTGGATTTGACACTAAGAACACAGATTGTAAAATTAAAATAGATCAGTTTGATCTTATCAAATTGAAAATTACTTGTGTATTCAAAGGACACTATCAACATAGCAAATGGTAATCCATGGATGGTAGAATAGATTTTCAAGTCACATATCTAATAATAGGCTAATGTCTTAAATATATTAATATTCCCACAAATCAACAACAAAAGTAAATAATTCTACAAAAACATGGGTAAAACAATTAGACATTTCTCCAAGAAAGATAGACAAATGGCTAATAAGTACACAAAAGGACATTTAACATTTTTAATAACCAGGGAAATATACAAATCAAGTCACAAAAAGACACAACTTTGTTTATTTATTTGGGGGTTTGAGCCACACCCAGCTATGCTCAGGACTTACTTCTAGTTCTGTGCTCAGGGATCACTTCTGGCAGGGCTCATGGGACCATATGTGATGCTGGGGCTTGAACTGGGTCAGCGACATGCAAGGCAAGTGTCTTAACCTCTGAACTTCTGAACTATCTCTGGGGCTGAAGAATTTTTGCTTTGGTATATTTGGGACCACACTGGATGGCGATGAGGGATTACTCCTGACTCTGCTCAGGGATCACTCCTGGTAGTTCTTAGGGGACCACAAGTGGTGCCAGGGATTGAACCCTTGTCAACTGTGGGTAAGACCAGTGCCTTACCTACTGTCCTCTGTGGCCCAAGAAGATAATATTTCAAACTTATTGGGATGACTATTATTAAAAACCAGAAAATAACAGCTAACAAGGATGTAGAGAAATTGGAATCTTTGTGAAACGCTTGGTGGGGGAGGTACAGCATGGCTTCAAAGAAGTACCGTAATACTCAAGTCTTCCACTTCTGGTTCTATACCAAATAGACTTGAAAGCAGAGCCTTGGCCAGATAATTATACAGTCTGTCCAATAGCATCATTATTCTCAATAGCATAGGAAGAAGTAACAAAATTTCCATTAAAGGATGAATAAACAAAATGTGATCTCTGTAATATTCACATACACAACTGACTCCATTTTAAGAGGAGGGAAATGCTCACACCCACGAAAACATGGACAAACCTTGAAAATATTCTAAACGAAATTAGTCATCGGCAAATATTTTACCATCTATTCATCTGATACGCGGAGGGCCCCAAATTAATGAAACAGAAAGTGGAACGGCAGTTGCCAAGGACTGAGGGAACCTGGGGGCGGAGAGTTACTGCTTAATGGCCACAAGCTCTGGTTTGAGAAAATCTCTGGAGGTGGATGACGGTGACAGTTGCACAATATCATGTGCTTTCGCATAGACCATGGACAAGATCCCTAGCGCGGTACCCAGCTGATTCTCTTCCCAAAGAGGCAGGATTTCAGGAATCAGTCCCGTACAGAGGGCAGCATTGTAAACTCGAACCTACTGACATTTGTCATGCGCACTCCTCTTGCGCTTTTCTTTGCCAAAAACTGACTTGAACACACTCTCGGCGCGGGCGCACACACACACGCACACGCGCGCACTTGCAGGCACACGCACATGCACGCGCGCGCGCGCACAACGGCACAAGCCGAAAATAAGGCAGAAAGGGGGGAAATGCTTAGAAAAGTCGAGGGCGGCTTCGGTTTCCTCGTCGCTCAGGTGGGACCCTTCCAGGACCCGTTTCCTTGCCTCCAGCTGGTGGACAGGTCGCTTTCGATTGCGAATAACCTAGGGGCAGATGCCGGTGATTTCCTCCGCTGGGTGGACCGTGCGCCCTAGCGGAACGAGAACGGTCACATCGGGAACTGTTTGTGGGCACACTGTGCCCAGAGATCCAGCGAGCACGGCGCCCCTGTCTCCCCTCCCGGGTCGTCCTCCCCACGCCTTTCCCCCCACTCTCCGCTCCTAGCGACCCGGATCAAAGGACACCCCGAATTGCTCCTCGGAACCGGGAGTGCGTCCACGGAGAGTTGGCGCGCACGGCCCCGCGTGGGCCGGGCTCTCCTCGGACGCCGGGAGCGAGGTCTGCGCGCCGCGGGGCCGCTGGCCCAGGCTCGGGGACAGTCTCCGCAGCGCGCTGGCGCCGGGGACGGACGGGGTCGGGCCGGGCGAGCTGGCCGGGCGGACCGGAGGCGGCGACCGCCGCTCAGGCCCCGCCTGGGCCGAGCCCGGACTCCGCCCCGCGGGTCCCGACGCCTCCCGCCGGCCCCAGGGCGCTCGCAGCCACTCTCCCCGCTCGCCGACCCGGCGCCGCAACATGCGTCCCCGCTCGTGGGCACGGGCGCCCGCCGGCTGGCTCCTCGCCTTGGGCGCCCTGCTGGGCCCCGCCGCCCGCGCCTGGGAGCTCACCATCCTGCACACCAACGACGTGCACAGCCGCCTGGAGCAGACCAGTCTGGACTCCAGCAAGTGCGTCAACGCCAGCCTGTGTGTGGGTGGCGTGGCGCGCCTCTTCACCAAGGTGCAGCAGATCCGCAAATCCGACCCGCACGTGCTGCTGCTGGACGCCGGCGACCAGTACCAGGGCACCATCTGGTTCACCGTGTACAAGGGCAATGAGGTGGCACACTTCATGAACGCCCTCGGCTACGATGCTATGGTAAGGGGGCGCCGGCCCGGGCGCCGGGGGTGCGCTGCGAGCTGGACAGCTCGGGGATGCTCCGTCCGCCAGGAAGCGGTCCCTCTCGGGGCTCGTGTGCGGGCTGGGGAGCTCGGGCGTCTCGAGGGGCCTCAGCGGAGCCGGAGGGGAGCCTGGACAGTTGTCCTGCGTCGGACACTGCCGCTGGCGTTCCCTGGCTCCCTTCTGCGTGTCCCCAGACGCTCCGTGTGGGTTGTATGCGGAACTAACGGTGAGGCAGCCCTAGGACCTGCTCAGGAAAGTTCTTACAAGAGGAACTGCAGGACCAGGTCACCTGTTTCTAAAGTGACATCAAAAGGACGCCAGAGCCCTGTGATCCCGCGGCATGGGGGCTGCGATCTCAGCCTAGGGGTTCTCTGCGCAGATAGGGTGTGTGCCAAATCACTTACTTTCTGTGTGCCTCAGTTCCATCCTCTATACAATGGTGTTAATCATTGGATCTTTCTCGGACCTGATCAGTTACTCTCTCTGCCTGGCACATCTTCTTGAGTACATTCTGTCCATCTCCTACAAAACGGGGATGATAATTGTATCCACCTCAGAGAGCTTGCCTGGCACGTATGTGGCTCCTAAAATATGCTGGTTATTATAATTATCAGATATCACTCCCTCCACCTTAGGCTTTACTCCTGGCAGTGCTCAGTGGTCACTCCTGGGGAAGGGGGACTCAGGGGATCATATTGAGCACAGGGATAGAACCTGGGTCAGCTGCGTGCAAGGCAAAAGCCCTTCCCGCTGTACTACCTCTCCAGTCATATAGTTTGGGGGATTTAGGGGGACCACACCCAATGGTGCTCAGGGCTTTCAGATCCCTGGCTCTGCACTTAGGGATCATTCCTGGCAGCATTTAGGGGACCCTATGTAGTGTCAGAAATGGAACCCAAGTTGCCATAGAGGGCATGTGCCCTACCAGCTCCAGCCCCATACTACACACACGCACACACACACACACACACACACACACACACACACACACACATAAAGCTTCTAGAGAGGACCAAAATGCTGAAACACTATCAAAGAATTTCAGTAAAATCAATTTGGCAACACAGATTTAGGAGTCATCCAAGTGGTGAATTGCTTTTAAAATCTTTAAAAGCAAGAGTTTAGTCCCAGCCTTAAATGCCCTGCTAAAGGCTATGTTGTGATTGTTGGATTGGCTCTAGGAAGAAGCAGAGAGGGAAGAGAGGGAATTACACACTAATAAATAAATAAGCCCAAAGAGTATATGGTTTTTCTTTTTCTTTTCTTTTATTTTTTCAACCAAGTCACCACCTAGCATTTTGCGTTAAAAATTCTGAAAAAATTCAGCAAGATTGTGAGTGCACAGGAGACAAAAGTCTCTGGTGCTCTTGCGAAGGAAGGGCAGAGCAAGGACCCACAGGGTCTGTGAAGTGCACGTGTGGCGGAGGGAGCAAGGCTGAACTAAAGGGCTAAAGAGCACTGAGTTCAGGGGGCCCAATCGATAGCACAGCGGGTAGGCCATTTGCCTTGCACGTGGCAGACCCGGGTTCGATCCCCGGCATCCCATAGGGTCCCCTGAGCACTGCCAGGAGTAATTCCTGAGTGCAAAGCCAGGAGTAACCCCTGAGCATTGCTGGGTGTGACCCAGAAAGAAAAAATTTTTTAAAAAAGCACTGAGTTTAGTAGCACGCAGCACTGCATCAGATCCTTTGGAAGGACAGGAAAAGATGTTGAGAGGGCAAGTTGTTTGGTTTTTGCCCCCAACAACAAAGTTCATTTTAAGACCAGAGACGTAGTACAGTGTAGGATAACACTCTTTTGTCCTTCCTCAGGTAGCTTAGGTTTGTCAGGTCACATCCATCTAAGGACACTGAACTTGTATTGTAAACAATGTCCTTTCTGTCTGGACACAGGAAGACAGTTAATATTATGCTTTGTAACTTGGGAGTTGATTGACTCCAAATAATATTTACTCCTGGGCATCTGCTTTCTTGACTCAGTTGCCCTTAGTTTCTAGCACCCCAAAAGCAGGGTCCCGACGAGGGACTGAATGGACCCAGGGCAAGCAGTGAGCTACCCTGGCATCGAAATGGGCCAGGCCAAAGAGCCACGATACTCAACTGTAAGTTGAGGGCATGATCATGGACAAATGCTGTCATGATCCAAAAGTAAGTAATGACGAGACTAGGACCCTGCTGGAGCTAGGAAGATTAACCTGGCCTGAGGAAACTTGACATGAGAAGGGCGCAAGATCAAGTCAACAAAATATTGACACATAGTAGGGGAATTGGTCATTCCCTGGGGTAGAACAGTCCATTGATATCTGCGCATAGGTGCGCGATTATTAAGAGAAGGGACAGAGAACGAAAAACGCTTACGATTATCTGGGTATATGGGAATGTTGTAAAAACAATCTTTTAAATCAATGACAATCGGTGGCCAATCCTTAGGAATGGCAGCAGGGGAAGGAAGGCCTGGCTGAAGAGCCCCCTTGGGAACCATGGTGGAGTTAACATTCCGCAGATCAATCAACAGGCACCACTTTCCTGACTTCTTTCGGATAACAAAGACAGGGGAATTCCATTCCGAAAATGAAGTTTCAATATGTCCCAACTTCAGTTGTTCTTCTACCAAGGATTCTAACACCCTTAGTTTTTCATTATTAAGGGGCCACTGGGAGGACCACACGAGATCGTGGGATTTCCACTGAATACGGAGGGGTGCTGGGCGTGAAGCTACAGCAGCTCCAATTAGAAGAGGGGAGGCCTCAGAATCAAAGTTCACAGTGGAATGTGGAAGTGGAATGGGAATCCTAATCTCCGCTTGCCATTGCTCAAGTAAATCTCGTCCCCATAAGTTCAGAGGTATGGGTGCTACATAGGGCTGGAAAGTGGCTGTAATGCCCTCTGGGCCAATACACCTTAACCATCTGGCACTCTGCCGGACAGAGGAGGAAGGCATCATGCCTACTCCGTGCAAACTGTAAGGTATTGCCTGCACAGCCCAGTTACGGGGCCAGTATTGGGTGGAAATGATAGAGGCATCAGCTCCCGTGTCAATCATTCCCTTAAATTTCTTCCCATGAATCTCAAGAGTTAGAAGTGGGCGGTTGCCTTCCCTCAGACGGGCAACATAGGCAATCATAGGATTAGTGCCTTCAAAACCTCCCTCACTAGGACGAATGGATAGACCTGGCACAACAAAAGGAAGTAAGAGAAGCTGAGCGATGTGCTCTCCCTTATCAAATGTCCAAACAGCAGGCACTGTGATAACGATTGTTATTTCATCAGTATAATCAGGATCGATGACCCCAGTATGAATAGTAATTCCCTTAAGAGAGGAACTATTTCTTCCTAAGAGTAAGCCTATGGTACCTTGTGGAATTGGTCCCTTCACACCAGAATTTAATCTGTAGGGACACTGGGCGGGGGTTATAGTAATCGTATTAGGGCAGGAAATATCCAAGGCTGCGCTTCCCACCATCACTGGCTGCAGTGAGTCTACTGATCGGAGCTCTGAGACTCCACACTGGGGAGAGGGGCTGGAACTGGGACGCCAGCTGTAAAATCTTATCACACCGAAGGTTGTATGTTCACGGGCTCACTGGACGGCACTGTTTCACCGCCTGCGTTCAGTGCTCTTGAGCCACTGTGTGTGGCCTGGATCAGAACGGCTGTTGGCCAAGGGCAGACGGAAGAAAAAACGGGGGCCAGGCCGGTCTATATCAATAGTAGTTTATTCCAGTTTATTCCAATCCTCTTCACTCCTGTCTTTCTCTGCCTCCTTCTCTCCTGGGCCCCAGTCTTGGAAGCTCTCTCCTTCTGGCTCTGACTCTGGATCTTTGGAGCCCGAGCTCTCTCACTTCTGACCCCTTTTCTGAGCTTACGTCTTAGTTTATATAGCAGTCACATAAGGCGGTGACATAAAGGTGGGTTGAATACTGACGAATCAACAAAGAGAGGTAAGACCACTCCTCCAGGAGATTAACTCAAGATAAAATCTCATCTACAGAGATTACTTCAGATTACTAGGAGATCCACCCAAGGGTGGGATCCCAACAAGGGTGTGTTCTTCCTTCAGTTAGTAATCTACTTAAATAGTTGTAATAAATCTACTTCTAATATTTCTAGCAATGTCATTCTGTATGAGCACAGTAAGAGATATAAATTTAGTTTGGTTCTTCCTGAGAACATCTCACTATACATTTTGCAGTCCTCAGGCCAGGTTAATCTTCCTAGCTCCAGCAGGGTCCTAGTCTCGTCATTACTTACTTTTGGATCATGACAGCATTTGTCCATGATCATGCCCTCAACTTATAGTTGAGTATCGTGGCTCTTTGGCCTGGCCCATTTCGATGCCAGGGTAGCTCACTGCTTGCCCTGGGTCCATTCAGTCCCTCGTTGGGACCCTTCTTTTGGGGTGCTAGGAACTAAGGGCAACTGAGTCAAGAAATCAGATGCCCAGGAGTAAATATTATTCGGAGTCAATCAACTCCCAAGTTACAAAGCATAATATTAACTGTCTTCCTGTGTCCACACAGAAAGGACATTGTTTACAATACAAGTTCAGTGTCCTTAGATGGATGTGACCTGACAAACCTAAGCTACCTGAGGAAGGACAAAAGAGTGTTATCCTACAGTATAGGGCAGGGGTTAAGGCACCTGACTTGCATGTCACCAATCTAGTTCAATCACCTTCAGGAATGTCCCTAGATCACCACCTGGAGTGACTCAGACACTCCACCACCAACTCCACGACCAAAAAAGAATAATAATAATATAATAAGAAAGAGAGAGAGGAAGGGAAGGGAAGGGAAGGGAAGGGAAGGGAAGGGAAGGGAAGGGAAGGAAGGAAGGAAGGAAGGAAGGAAGGAAGGAAGGAAGGAAGGAAGTTCTAAAGAGATGAGAGAAAAACAGAAAGATTCTCTCTATTCTGAGTGCTGAGATTATTAGGGTGCTCAAAGCAGCAGCAATTCAAATGGATCCCCAAACCCCAGA